TATATATATATATATAAAGATAGGGGGAGATCGGTTGTTTTGAATTAATGATTGGGAGTTTTGGAGAGCAGTATTTTATCTCACTGCTGATTATGGAGATCAAGATTATGACGTCGGTCGTTGTTTTGAAGCAATCGGCACGTGCTACAAATGCAGTCAGGAGGTCAAAGAATTTCTTTCCAACCCACGCATCGGAAAATAGCGTGCTCACATTTTTTAGTTTTCAAACTTTGTGAATTTCCGCGGAAAAAAGCGATTTTTTTTGTTTTCATCGCTGAATAGCAAATGAGTGGAATCAATAAAGAGAGAATGGTGATTGGAGAAAAAAGCACCTGATAAACTAGCACCGGAAATAAAACATCGGAAAAGCACCTCCTTCATTATAATATAAATTTAATGCCTGATTCCATTCAGACCATTGAACCTGAATTTAATGTCATTAAGGAATTATTCGAAAGTAAGAATAATTATTAAAAAATGAATAAAGATACGAAGTTTAATTTAACTTTTAACAGAAAGGAATTTCCAATGCACTTGTCGTAAGTACATTAAAAAAAAGTATTATAAATAAAGTGTAAATTAACAATAGTTCTTCAAAAGTTAGTCTTTTCACAAGTTAAAAAATATTAGCACAATTGATTAAGTAATGCAGTTCAATTCAGTAACTTTTTTAAAAAATAACTAGTTGAAAAGGAATTATTTGTAAACTATTATGTGGCGATGCACATATGTCACAAATTCAGAATAAGAACCCTAGTCATTCACTTTAGAATAAGAGCCTCAATCAGATTAATAGTCCTTTTCATTTTCTGAAATTGTATGAAGTGAGAAAATTTCCTATTTTAAAAATAAATTCTGAAATATTGATCAATTTTAAAAAAAAAGTATCATCAAATTCCATTCGAATAAATATTTAATTACATAAAATTCTGGCTAAAGGGCTGGTGCTCCTTTTTTTTTTTTTAACTTTCTACGTAATGAATACACTAAAATTAATGACCTTATCGCTCAGATGACATCATGAATCGAATTTTGGAATCAAGTAGTTCGAATCAAAAGATTAAAACCCTGATGGAAATTAATGTCGTACAGAATGGAATTACTTTATTCGAGTCATTTAACGAGTCACTCGTTTAAAAATTATACATACAAAAATTAGTGAGGCGTTTATAGAACGGAGCTTTATCGATTATGTCTTTCAAGTTCCCTACCCCCCCCCGTGCTTTTTTCTGTAGTCACCAGTGGGAATATATATAACGAGTTTCATAATTGTAACTAGAGAGTAAATAAAATTAAAATCCGGGATTTTATTTTTTTTTTTCGAGTAGAAGAGAAAAAGCTCTTTTAATGTATGTTGTATAAATTTTAAATTCTTAACTAAAGTCTCGCTCAATTCCTTTAATTACTATCAAAGCAAAAAAAAATAAAATGAATAAAGCATATAATGGAAACTTAGAGGAGACCTCCTCTAAAAACGGAACACTTTGAGGGGTGATTGAGTGAACCAAGCTGAGTAACCTGCTCTTCAGAAGGCAAGAAATTATTTTATCTCCTGCAGGTCACCTTCGGATGTGGAAAGATCTGTTTTATCGATTCCTATTGAATAACTTTTAAACAAATTTTGAATGTAGCTGCATTTGGGTCGACAATTTTACTTTAATAATTGTAGGCGAAGGAAACAATTATTAAAATTTTGGCATTTAAAAGTAAATTTAAAAAGCGAATCGCATTTTCAAACCACCTGTACCCTATTTTCGAGCTGCGGCAGCTGAGTTTCTCAAAAATATTAATTATATAATCTGATCAATCGATTCAAAAAATTTCTGCTTTGTCGTTATTATTGCTGTTTATGTGTTGCACACGCTACCCCCTTTGCGAACAAAGTTAATAAAAAATTTAAATCGGTCGTACATAAATAGAACTTTAATGAATAGACTATGTAATAGAATTTTTCTTTAATCAATAGACTAAACGCTGAATTATAATCGCATTAAAGCGATAAAAAATAAAATGATAAAGGGAAAAATATAGGGATGCCAGAAACACCAATCTTTGTTCAATATTCATTTTTGAAAATTTAATTCATTACTTTTTACTGATTGTAGCGAACAAATGTGAACTTACTCCCCTTCCATTTTTCTTCTCTCTTTTTCTCTACATGTATTTCCTCAAAACACGAATAATATTGATTTGAGTTTCTTATAATAAATTTATTGTACTATTTTCGTGGCTTACGATGTTTAATTTAACTAACAGAATACATAAATAATTGTTCTTTCGGTTTAATACAGTACTTCTATTATTTATAATATTTACTTATTTTCCGAAGCTTTCAAATATTGCATTGCCATTGAAAAAAAATGTACTTAATCTCAGAATTTTTTTTTTATACAAGAGAAAACATATTGTCTGAAACATAGAAATTTACACTATATTAAATCAATATATAGCATCAGAAATTTTATATCCAAGTGAAAAATAAAACAAGTTCGTACATAAAACAATAAAACATAATCGTTTAATAATGATTTTAAAAACCTTATGTTGTTTCAAATTTAGAAATGAATTGGAAACCAGGGAAAAACTTCGATTTATCATTTATTTGCCAAAGTTCTAAAAATTAACAAAATAGTGTACTGATAGCAAAAGTACATTTCAACCTAAGAAGAAAAATAACTGAAATAAGAAATGCTGTATTGAACGATAAAACTTAACTGGCAAATAATATGCTAATAATCTTCTGAGAAAAGAAAAACATGATAAATTGTGAAAGTAAGTAATCTTTTTTATTTTTGAACAACCCACTTCTTTTCCTGACTGAAGCCCTTCAGTGCCTTAAAAACATTTCTCACCCCCATCCCCCCTCAGATTCACTTCCCCTTCCACACTTCCTCAGATCACTCTTGAATACAGTGATGTCATTGCTCCACGCGTTACAAAGACTGATTTTCATTGGAGGAAAATGACATCACTTACAAACTGAAATTCTATTGGTCAAAAACTGTGATGTAAGGGCTAAAAATAATTTTTACGACCGGCGATATAACACTACGTTACTTTTATTTAGGTTTTGTTAAGATTCAAAGCGGCGCGAAGTAAAGAAGGAGTTTGTGTTCGCTTCATTTTGTGTAAACTTATGATCTATTTCTAAAGTTCTCCAATTTTCTATGAGGATTATACACGTGTTATTTTACTAACATTTATAAGGTAAGATTTAAATATTATAAATGTTTTTTGAATAAATACTTTTAAAAAAAATTTCTTGTGAAAAGTTAGTATTACATATATTATGCACTAATTATTTCTAAAATATACTTGTAATTAATATTTAATTGTGTGTTAATCAATTTCTAAAAAAAATTCATAATGTCGAAATCACGTATTGATTTTGCTGAACAAACCCAATAATTTTATACAGTTTAACAAATCATTTATTAGAGAAAAAAACTGCTTATGTCACTGTTTTCATTAATAAAAATTTTATGTATCGATTTTCTAATATATTAGTTTAAAATCAAATAATCTAGAATTATTCATATAAATCTCTCGTGTTCAATTTAAAACTTATAAGTTACTAATTTAATATTTTCCATCACCGCTATCAATAAATTTTAATTATCATTGTTCACAAATATTTAAAGGGCTATTAAATTAATCTATTCAGTATTGCAATTTAAAAGTTGTATTACAAAAAACATGGAAATTAATTAAATATAATTTCGAAAATAATTTTTATTGAATGCTAATCTAATGTAGATTTTAAATGGAACTTGATTGTGAGTGTATTATGAAATAATAAATAATGTTAATTTAATATTTAGTTCAATTTTATTATTTATTTATTTATTTTAATATCTTATAGGTTATCTGTTATCTAGACCCACCATGAATTTAGTGCTGCCATCTACTGTTGAAGATATAAATCGTCTTCAACAAAGCTACGAAATGACAACTTCAAAAGATGCACTAGGATTTAATAAAGGTAAATAATTTTAAATACCAATTTTAGTTTAGAAATAACTAATTGCTGAACCAATTTTAAATGGACAAATTTCTTTTTAAAAAATTCTAAATGAAACTTAGAATACTTTAAAACGTTTGAAAACAATTTTCGATGTTGTATTTTTTAGGTTTTGAAAATATTTTTGTGGAGAAACGATACAAGCGAGAGGTCAGTCTCCCCGATGGTATTAAAAATTGGGATATCGACAACATCCAAACGTACTTGAACTTTGAGGAGGAGAACTACGGTGGCTTCAAGGCTATCGAGTCTGCTGCGGAGGACATGGTTGTTCCGGAGGACGGCAACAACTCCAGGCTTCGATGTGATTCATATTCTTCCATGACATCGAGTATGGATGATCGCATGTTCTTCCAGGGAATGGGAGTGAAAACAATCAACACAATCTGTGTGGATTCCGGATCGACGTGTATCTCTGCTGCTGATCACTCTCCTCTTCTGAATTCCTCCTCAGATTCCATCTTCAGGACTATGGATCCAGAAGAGACTTACCAAAATCTTGAAAACTTTTTACAACAGGTCAGTCTCTTTCATTCTTTTAAACCAGTTAAATGCATTGGGAGTTTTATACCAAGTTGTGAATTGCAAGTTTTATTTAGAATTTGTTATTCATCAATATTTCATAACATTCCAATACACTCCTTAAATAATTGAATTTTTTACGATATTTCATGAAATTACATTCTGTGAGTTGTGCAACTATATTAGCATTTAATTTTTCAAAAATCTACTATGTTCGGATCAAAAACTTGTGATTGGTTAGCACAAGTTATTTTGAGCAAATGACATCTTATAATTGATATATTCATATAATAAAACTTGATCTAAGAAACTTTTTCTCAGGTTAATGTTTAATTAAAAGTGCATTTATAAACATATAATTGTTTAGAGAACTAAACCTAATCATTGTATTTGGCTATAAAATAATAATCTAGTCTTGTAGTCAGTTGCATCACAAGAGGGTGCATGACCTGGAAATGAAGTATTTTATTTCGAAATGCTAATTTTTTTAAAAATAATTGCAATTTTTCATTGTTATAATTTGCCATTTTGAAATAGAACATTGAAGTTATTCTATTTTTAAATCGGTTTTATACGAACGTCTCTATGGTTTATCTCATGAAATAAAAACATAATTAAGCAAATTTTGCTTAATTTAGATAATGCAGCATTTTTTAATAGTTAAAAATTTAAATTGTAAGATAAAAACTTTTGGTTTAGTTGCATTATTTAATTTCTATGAAATTTCAGATTTTAACCAGTAAATTTTATTTTACATAGCAAAAAATATTTGTAAGCAATATATGAAATATTTTAATCGTCTCACCTTCCTGCTTATATTATTTATGGAAACTATATTTTATGTATAGAAGACTCGATTAATCAGGATTTAAATGTAGTTTTCATTTTGTAGAGAGTATCTAATAGATAATTGTATAAAAAGTAACCAATAGAAATTAAACTCCAGGTTGAGCTGTAATTGAAAATTTTTAAGCTTTCTAATGTCTGTGTTTAGGTTTTTATTTTGAAAAACTTTCTCAATTTATTTTGAAAAAGAAAGAAATTCTATTTCTAAGCATCCCACTTTCTTAAAGCTAAGACAAATTTTTTTTAAAATGTGTTGAATTTTATTTTAGGTTCCTGAAGTCTCTGAAAATCTGCCTTCCCCTCTTTCTGTTTCTGGCAGTGAAAGTAACTTTGAAATGCTACACGGCAGCTATTTCCTACCTGCAACCTGCACTCAAGACAGCCTCCCTGAAGTACCCAGGGGTACGAAGCGACCAGCCAGCACCTCCAGTGAGTTGGACATTTTCAGTTTGAGAACAGCTAAACAGCAGTGTCCATCACCCGTACAGTACAATGATGTTCGCAGGAAGAACAATATTGCTTCTAAAAATTGTCGCAAGACACGAAAAGAGAAACAGAAGGAAATGGAGATGCGTGTGTCTGAACTCGAAAAAGAGAAAGAAGGACTTCGTGTGGAGGTGCAAGTCCTCGAAGAACTGATTCAAGCTCACAAGATGCAACTCTATGCCATTTTGAAAAAAAGATGAGATTTGATTTGTATTCATTCATAAATTGTGTCATTTGTTTGAAAGAACCCATTTTAATAACTCTTTTCTTTTAACATTTCATTGAAAAAATATACCTCTGGGGGTTACTGAATTGGAGATTGATCGTTCTCTGGTTCAGGTCAAAATTACGATCTGTGGATGAATGAATGGGCCTGCCCTATAAATAGGTGTGATATATGAGTGTGGCATACCTTGCCTTAATGGTCTACAACAACAACATTTCATGGCAGTTTTTAGTGAGCATGCAACTTTTAAGAAATTTGCTTTTAATCTTATTTTTTTACCCTACAAAAATCTGTCGATTCTTGAAAATCCAAGTTTCATATAGTTCTGGCAGCGTATAATTCACTTTCTTATTTACATTGATTGGGAATATGGTTTTTTTATTCATCTTTTTTTTTTATAAAAATAATTAAAAAATATCTGTACAATTTATTTTATATCGGTCCATTAGAGACCATTGGTAAAGGATCAGAGTTAGAAAAGCCTTTTTCTTTTGGCTATGTATAAATTAGTAATTTAAGAGTAAGAAAGAAAAAAATTAGAATAGTGCTAATAACTCACTTTTAAAATAGGAGTGAAGGTTCTTTCATTAAAATTTACACTGAGAAGGAAGTGGAGAAAGTATGATGTGTTTAAAACCTGTGATTTACATTTGTGCAATCAAATAGTACATCTGCTTGTGATGTTAGTTTAAACAATTTCTCTTCCCTTTAAGTCACAATTTGTAGACTGCCTCATTTGTAAAAAATATTTGTCATTATTCAGGCTGGTTCTGAAAGCTCATTTTCCCCCCCTTTCATCTCTATTCATTCTCATTAAAGTACATTCAATATGTGTTTCATTATTTAAAAGAATGTTTATTTAAAGAGATTGTTTTAGTACAATATGTTTGAAAGAGTGTCAAATTTGTTCTCAGTTTACGTACATTCTGAAAATGTTTGTATTTGGTTATTTAGAAGAATTAAAAGGTTAGTGCACGACTGATCGAAACACATCAAAAACTGACGCATATTGAAACTCTGTGACTGTATATTAATTGTAAATAAATGATCATTTTTTGTACTTTTGTCATTTTCTTTTACTCCCCTTTCTCTTTATTATGTAAGAAAAATGTGTCAAATATTATAGCTAATTGTGCAAACTTGTCTATCAACATTGAATAAATATAAAAAGTTTTGCATTCAATGCACATACGCTGATTATAAGATCAACTAAAGAATTTAAAATTTGACTCTAAATTACTGGCTAAGTTAATTTTTTTCTTTTTATAAAAAATTAAGTATAAATTCTTATCTTAAATGAACAAAATGCTGACTATTCTAAGTAATTGGCATTAAGTACAGATTTGTAATCAATTGTATGTAGTAGTTGTACTTTATGTTGCAACAGAGCTGCACAATGAGTTATTGGAGCCTACCTAGGAAACATCTGAAGATGGTCGACGACATGCCATTTTTTATTTTTAAAATTCAACAATTATTTAGTGTTATTATAACGATCGTTTAATTATCTCATCTCTGGTAGGGCCGAAATCTTCAAGTGGAATCATACACATTTATTCCTTCAAAAGTTAATGCATTTCCATACATTATGTTAGTAAGGTGAAATTAGAATGCCATTCAGTGATTGCTGATATGAGACACCCATTAATAATGTAGCTATATATATATATATTTAATATAAAAACCACATTTTAGGTGTGTAATGTTCCACAACTTTTTTATGAAAGAAAACACACATTTAAAAAGGATTCATTAACGTGAATAAAGCAAAAATTGAAGAAAATCAGCAGAGTGTAAGTAAGGAAAATTGCCCTTATCAATGGTTTTAATTTTCAGTGTCGGTACAGTAATTCAAATTTCTATGCCAGCCTGCTCCAAAATGTGGTTGGCTATTATAGTTAGGAATGGGTGGATTTACGATTGTATCCACAGAAGAGTGCATCAAAAAGTAATTACTCTAACATGCAATTCAAAGTTTGCATGTTGTAATACAGTGCCCGCCGCTAATAAAATCAAATCGGCAAGAACCGAATCATTACAATATTAATACATGTTAAAAACATCCTTTAATAGAATCAATGCCACCGCTCAAGTCAATGTAAACTCTCAAATGATGTTGAAAAGTTAATTTTAAGTACTGCAACTCAAGCAACCATTGATCGGTTTTTGCAAAAATTTTGTAAATTTAATCTTATGTAAGGTTACTTTATTAAAATAATTAATTCAGTTAAAATAAAGCATTACCTAATGTTGTCATTATTTCAGCTTTGAAAGTGTGTGCATTTAGAATAAATATATCGTAAAAGTTTAATTTTTTTCTTCAAATCTTGAATCGCCTCTTTAATAAAATCAAAAGAGCATAAAACGAAAGTGATTTTAATAAACGACGGGCACTGTATTATGAAATAATTAGACCTGATTGTAGTCGGAACAAATTGGAATTTGCAACTCATTAAATCAAGTTTTAAAATAAATGAGGAAAAACATAATTTTTTCTCGAAAACAATCTTTTAAATGTGTTACCATTCCAGAATTATATGTAAGAATACCACTTTTATACTTTGTGTTTGCCTCAGTAGTTACTTAATTCTAGCAGTGGTTATTGTGGAATTTTTTTTCATGCAGTTTCAAAGTTGCATTTTTCAGAACAAATTTGCTTGAAAAAAAGCAGTTATTGCATGAGGGTTCTGGTAAGGGTGAATTAAATGTTATATTAACGAGACTTTAAAAACTATTCATTCGAGGAAGAATCACATTTCTGGGGTATAGAATGATTTCAACAAAACATTTATATGTTAAACAAAACAGATTTTTTTTTGGGGGGGAGAGGGGGTTAAAATAACAAAATAAAGAAACACAGTTTTTAATGGTAGAAAACTTTATTGGTTAGTCTTAGTAGTTAGAACAATGTATAAGTATTCAATTGCATAGATCTATTTTTATTAAGAGAAAAATGGCAGTCATTTAATCAAGCAAATGAATAAAAGTTTCTTAAATTTAAAGGCTTTACTAAAAGATGATGAATTTCCAATCCCATATTTTTTGCAAATGAATTTTTATATCCTAATATATACAGTCAAACCTCGCTATAGTGAACACGATTTATAGTGAACTCCCGGATATAGTGAACGTAATGTTCAGTCCCGTGCCTTGCTATACCCGTATAATGTTATTTTTTGTGGATATAGTGAACCAAAAAAGTGAAGTTGGATCTAATGAGCTTTTTTCTTCATTTTTTTGTAATAATTTCGAAATTTCTACTTCAAAATAAGTACATATACCGGTTTTTAAAGCCATCTACAGTGGGGAAGGTAGCGATAAGCATTTTTTCTTGTTTGCTTCTTTCACCTTACTTTCCCATCCCTAAACAAATCAAGTAGATGTTTCCAACCCAGGCAGATGATGCATCTATAAAGTGTCAGTGGGATCAATAAGCATTTTATGTCAGAGGGAATGAGTGACTATTTATTATTGGTCAAAGAGTTGGACACTAATATGTGTTGATAAGGCCCTCATTTCAACTCCTTTTTGTTCTCAATGCAGTTAAAAAAAGCCTGCAAACAAGTGTCTCAAATTCAACTATGGCGAGCAGTAAACGTAAAATTTTCTCCATTGATGATAAAATGGGCATAATCAGAAAAATTTAAAATGGATGTAATCAATCTGATATTTGCAGAGAATATAAACTATCCAAATCTACAGTTCGTAACATATGGAAAAATAGGCAATTAACAATTTCTGCTCATAAATAAAAATTTAAATGGCAGAAAAAAGCAGAACACAAAGATATTGAAGAAGCATTACTGAAGTGCTTCAGCATTCAAAGAAGCAGCAATCTTCCAGTATCTGGACAAATGTCGATGAATTTGCTAAGCGATTTTAAGAGATTACTTTTATGTGCTCGAATGGCAGGTTAGACAAGTTAAAAAATTGGACTAACAGAAATTCAGGAAAAATTATCTAAGAGTCGTGAAGTGTTTCCATATCTGATGTTGAAAATTGCTCATCAGCTAAAGATTACTAATTTTTGTGTGTGTGCAGGACGCAGAGTAATAAAAAATAACACATTTTTTGCTACTACATAATATTATTCAGTCATTTATTTGAATAACGTGTAATAAAAGGGAGGAATTTGGGAACAATTTATTAAATTGCCCTCGTAACGGATATGGGGAACTCCCGGTTATAGTGAACCAAAATTTCGGTCCCTTGAAGTTTCACTATAGCCAGTTGACTGTATATATATAAATCTTTCGATTTTTTTTACAAATAAAATAGTTCATTATTGTTTAAGAAAGAAATATATGATAGCTTGTTTTACACAAATATTTATTGAGCAATAGTATATTACTATATATGTGTGTGTGTGTGTGTATATATATATANTATATTTTAAAAAATTTATATGTATTTAATGGCTGTTTTAATCAAATGACACTTATTTATTTCTGTTATTTTACAAGAACACATTAGCCTGTAGCAGTGCTTTTTAATATTCACATAACCAGTTCTTATTTGATCATGCTGATAATTTTCTGTAACACATTAAAAAGTTTTAATTTGTTTTCAAACTATAAAATAATCTCGCATACATTTGAAAATCAGAAATTAAAAAAGATTGCTTTGATTTTTATTAACAAATGGATAAGTAATTTCACATCTATACAAACATTGAATAGCAATTAAGTATAATTTTTAAAAAATCAACATTTTGTTATTTAACTGTAAAAATAATAATAAAATATGAGTTTATTTAGAAAATAAGAAAGAAAATTGCACGAGCTAGAAAAAAAAAGACAGTTAAAAAAAAATTTCACAATTTTCTTAGAAATCGGCATTTCTTGATATTATATAAAACTGTTTTCACATGTTCATTTATTCAAGGCAATTTTGAGGGAAGGTTCATTTTTGAAAGATTCATCATTAAAACATCTTTGAATTTTCTTTTGATTTGTAAGAAAATTGCAAAGAAGTAGAATTATATAACAAACAAATTATGTAAAAAATTAAGAAAAATAATTCCTTTTTAATTAATAACTGAAGATTACTCGTTTAGATTGAGATGATTAAGGACATAATTGAGCAGAAACAAGTTATAGGTTTCAAAGTGCTGTAATACGTTAATGGATTCATTAGTGAATAAATAGTAAATATTTAAATTTTCTTAAAGTGCACAGAAATTTATATAATTTTGAAAATAAGCATATTAATTTAAATGAATAAAAAAAATTAAATTTTGCAGAAAAACGAATATTGAAACTATTATCAATGTAAAATTATAATTTATATAAAATTGTTAAAAGTTTATTTTTATCACCTAAAAACTTAATTCTGGATCAATGTTGCAAACGCAATTGAAAAATATAATATTTTGAAATTTAAAGATCACCAGACATATTCAATATTTTAAATAATTAAACAGAGTTATTTCAATTGATGCTTTTTATTTAAAGACTTAAATCTTTAAGTAAATGCACCATTCAATACTATAAGATACATTTTATTTGAAGAGGAAAATAAACAATTGGAAATTTAGAAAAAGTTTATAAATGTATAAAACACAAATTGATTTATACATTTCATCAAAATATATGTTACATAGAAAGATTTTATTAAAATATTTAAAATAAAACATTAACAAGATGTTTTGACATAAAAGAAATAAACATACATTAAAATAATACAAAGACATAAAAAGTTCATTTGTCTTCATTAAAACAGATATAGTAAAAATACACATATGTTAAAACTACAATAGTGTTCAATTTATAGTAACATATCACAATTTAAGTATTGATAGAAAAATTTGTTCCTCAAAGTATACTGAAGGCACAGAATAAAATAAAATGCAATACAATAACCACTGATGGCAGCATCTTACTAAAGAACTAATTCATTTTTACAGATAAAAATAATAAAATAACACAATTGTCAATTTTGGCACCAAAATCCTTTAAATTATGAATGTGCCATGGTAGACAAAATAATAGTTTCATCTAAAAATTCATGAAAAATATAATTAACAAACTAAGTTTTTTTCTCAGTAAGATGCTGTGACTACTAAAAATAAAATAACAAAAAATAACATTCACTAGAAGACAATTCCTATTTGTTTATAAAATCATTTAAAAGGTCATACTTAAAACAAGATAGTACTCAACTACACTAAACTATTATATATTCCATAAATTGCACACCTAAAGACTTGTAAAAAGTAAATATATTTTTATATCCAAACATTCTTAAAGTCAGAAATCCAGAAATTACCTGAATACTTTTTAAATTGAATGTTAACTTTAATATTTTTATATTTTTATGAAATAAAAAGACAAAATCAACTAAATATTTTTTTAAAAAAGAAAAATAATCTTTTTTTTCATATTAAAACTTTCATTCATTGAATATACATTAAAGCTAGCATTAAATATTCATTTTATTGTCTCCAATTAACTATGATCAATTGAATGAACTGAGAGAACTGCTCAACAATGGTATAAAACATAATTTTCATCCTTAATGTGATACTCATTTGATTCATTAGAATCATTTTTAAATTTAAAATTATTAATCTTTTGACAAAGAAATGAATTAGTATAATAAATATTGGTGTAGGTAACTTCTTTAAGTGTATTTCACTCTTCTTCTGTAATCTTATTTTTAATTTACAAAGACAAGTTATTACATAGCCGTCAGTAAAATTACTAAGAAAAAAAGCTTTTTTTTTTCCTTTTTACCTTAAAAAACATTTTATAAATGGTACATATTTTCTAATGTTGGATATTTTTTCTGTGTGTGCGTTTGAGGAAAAAATTATAAAAATAAATAATATTTACAAGAATGTAGAATGAAATGTATTCTCAAAATGACAATGAATGTTAAAGGAAAAAAAGTGCAAATGAATTTTTTTTTTAAATAAAAAGAAATTCTGTGAAAGAATTTTTTAAATATAAAATGTATGGAATATAAAGCATAAATCAGCAAATAAATGAATTCATTTTTAAAATAGTAAAGTAAAATTAGACTTTAACTTCTTATAAATTAATACCTGTGATATTTTTCATAGAAAGTTTTGTCATAAATACCTTTTTATGCTCCTCCCTTTTCCAAGGGGAATAGGCATTGTAAATTTTATCCCGCTGAATCGATTTAGACCAATCACAAGATGACCGTACCAATAGTGCAGAGGGTTTTATGTATAAAAATGTACAATTTCGCACTTCTATTAATTTATACATAAGACTTAGCTATTTAACTAAATTAAGAACTGTTTTTATGAACATCCTGAATCAAATAAGTCAATAGAATGAATTGTTCAGACGTAAATATATGAAATATATGATTTCTTACATATCTTATATACACTTTTTAAACTACTATTAAGGAACTATCTAAACCAATTATTTACCTAACCATATTTTCCGATGTAATTATTCATGCTATATTGAATAAGATTGGAAGGTAATAAGACCAATAGTTTAGAAATTATAAGCATTTTATGTAGAAAAATTAAAAATTTTGTATTTGTACCTATTCAAACATCAAACTTTGCTATCTAATAAAATGAAGTATCTTTGCAATTTATTACAGTAAATTGAATAAGTATTAAGTTCTTTTTTGGGGGGGGTCAGACTTAAACCTTATTTTTATTTATATCGCAGGTTATCTCAATAAATATAATACATGACAAATCTATTTAATAAAATGAAGAATTTGTTTGCGCGTGTGTCCCACTTATAACCCCAGAATCAATCGCAGTAGCGTACTGACAGCAGAAAATTTTCAAGTTAATGGCAGTGTTTACTTGCTTATAGCTTTCATTAATTAAAAAAGGAGTTTATTACACAGTCTTAGATAATTAATTATTTTTTATTCGTCACATCATAAAAAACTGAATGGTATCTTAGGCGGATCAGGTAATATGAAACCACATTTTTCTTTTCACATGGTGTTGCTTTTAAAAAGTATTTCTAAAAAACTAAATAATTAAAAATTAATAGTATTTTAAATAAAAAGAAATAGTTACACACTGGAAAACAAAATTAATGAAAGGTGAAAAATCGTCTGACGATGCCTGACTATTTTGGTGAATTGTACAAACTGGAAAAAAATAAGCTACTAACAAATTAGAAAAACTGATGGTAAAATAATACTAATTCATTTAGGAGAAGTTCACTACATCTCCATACTATTACTGATCCCCATGGTGTTCAATTTATAATGACAATGGTACTAACTGAAAAAAAAAACTATATATAAAAAAGCATAATTAATAGAGAAAGGGCACTAATTTCCTTAAGAAAAGGAAAAAAAGAACAGCCATACTTTATTGAAGCCAATGATGCTTAATTAATTTTGATAACAGTAACTAATTATTATAAAACTTCAAGCTATTAACTAAAGAGCAAAATTAATGGGGAAATAGTTCTAATGTGTGAAATAGTTCAATAAATGAAAAAAATTTCAATGCTGTTATTGACGCCAATAATGCTTAATTAATTTTGATCATAAATAATAATTGCATTAAAAATAAGCTAAGTACAGAACAGCAAAATTAATGGAGAAATGGTACTAATTCGCTAAGGAGGAAGATAAAAAATCGCCATACTATAAGTGACGCCAATGTTGCTTAAATAATTTTGGTAAAAGGCATTTTCAATATTGTGGTAATAGGTGTTATTTTAATTAATATTAAATAATTTACTATTTTAGGTCAAATTAGTAAATTTGGTAAAGATTAAAACTGCATTAATATAGATAAAGTGGAGTGAGGTGCTCTAGAGGAATTCGAAAGGAGTCATTACCAGAGTAAATAGCTTAATTGTGGTCATTTTCCACGAATTGTCCTTGAGCAATAGCATCATTTCAAAAAATACTGAATATAGTTAATATTTATTTTGATCTGATGAACTCTTAAAAATGCGTTTTGCTTAATCTAGATATTTAAAGTCACCAAAGACAAAAAATAATAATACATAAAAAAAAGTGGATTATTTTAGTTTTATTAATTGTGTTGGCTCAGTTTTGTGCATGATTTTGTAGCATTCTTTGAGACAAATTTATTGACAGTTTAATTTTTTCCAGCCCATACGGAGAACGGGTATTCAGCAAGTATAATCATTAGATAGAATAAAAAATTTATTTAAACACAAATTTAATGCAATGAAAAATTAATATATGAAAAAAACCTGTACCTTGTAAACTGTCACTTGATTGGTCTCATTTAATTCAGTGTAAAAAAAAATGAATTATAAGCTGTGCATTCCTTGCCTGCATAAAGGATATACAATTCTCTTCCCCAAATCTCTCCCTTTTCACCTCAAAAAAGAGTGAAATGCACAGTCAGTCATTGTTTACTATGATTTAATAAAGCTTCCAATGAAAAAAAAATCTTGAGTTCAAATATTTCTGAAGAAACACTTTTTTAATAGCTATAATTACTAGACTAGATATTAAAGTAAAAAATACATGGAAAAAATAGCTCAAAATATTTCATAATTATCTAAAAAAATTTCAAAGAGGTTAAAAATAGAATGAAACATTTAACTAAAAAACTAATCAGTACAGATGGTCACAACTATAAGGACAATCAATGACTTCTACAGATTTATGTCATTGATTAATATTCCATCATCAGTCATCAATGACTAATTTCATTAACAATGCTTTTTAGTTGGGATGTAATGAATATTTGGCCACTATTCAGAATTCGGAGCTCTTGCCAAATATTCAGCAAAGTATTATATAAAAAATTATTTTTCGACTAAGATTTTTTTGGGAAACTTTTAATATATTTAATAAATAATAATGTTTAATATATTTAATAAAAAATAATCTAAAATCAAATTTTTTACTATACGTTATTCAAAATAGTTTTTACACATATTCATTAAGTTCTAAAGCTTGGTAATTTACGTTCTGAAAGATGCATGGAAAAGTGAAATTTGAAGAATTAAAGCTAAATTACTTTATGCTGAACCATGAGTTTTTTTATTGCTCATTCCTTTTCTTTTTTTTTAATTGAGACAATATCATCGTTTTTTCTACACTTTATATTTCAAAAATTGAGAATTTTTTGTTTTGTTTTATTTTTGTTTGTTTTACAGTTTTAACGAAACGAATGTTCTGTTTTAAAGTTAACGGAATGTTTTGAATAAAATATATTGTTTTATTGTCACTTTTTTCTTATATGGTAAAACAGATAATTAGTAACATAGAATACTGCAAACCTCAACATTAAATTCATATTTCAGAACTAAAAACAATTTTTTGCTTCCTTTCTGTTTCTTCTTTTCTTACTAACTTTTTTTTTAACAGTGTTTTCATCATGACAGCATTCCTGAACGAGTGTTTCTTATGTACGTTATTCTTTTTAAGGACATTTTTTTTCTATAAAGAAATGTGTAAAAGTTTAATTAAGATCTTTAGCGTTAAATCTATCGTTTAAAAATCAAGCAAAATTTTTGTTTTGGTTTCTATCTAGCTTTTTCTTTTTCAAACAACAGACATTTTCATAGACGTTTTTATTATAACATGGCAGTTAAGAGGCTCTTTATTAGACTTTAATCTTCACCTTTTTCTTGAAAATGCGGTAATTATAAAACTAAAATGTTCGGATTTAAAATTGATTTTCAAAAAATTAAGATTGATTTTTATTTTTCTCTTGTATATAATTTTCCTTTGTATATAATTTTTGTTATTTTTTATTTCCGTTTTTATGATATAGCATTTTTAAAACCGTTTCTGATAGACATTTATCTCTTTTAATGTTTTATGGAGAACTTATTTCCTACCGGAAAATAGTATTTTTAGCATTAAAGTTTTGTTTCAACAATTAAGAGGATTTTTTTTTTTTTTAACTTTACAACTGTAGTTTTTTTAAATAGCTGTTACTGGGTTTCTTCTTTATCTTAAATATTTCTAAACATCATAATATCTAATTATCCTTATCCTAAACATTTCTATTTTTTTTCCTCTTTACCCATACCAATAATACAGATAAGTTTTGTTTATTTTTCAATAATGACTAAACTTATCACTTAATAAAAAATAATAGCATTTATTAATAATTTTTTAAAAAAAATTGCTATTGGACTGCCGAATATTCGGTATTTTGCTAAATCACAATCCATAAAATCCCTACTTTTTAGGTCCCTAACCGTAAAAGAAAAAAAATCAAGACAGGACAGATCTAAGAGGTCAAGGGGTCTTTAGCTTTATTATCATAATGGCAATATCTAGATAAAACAGACACCCTCTACCTTTGCTCTCCAACCTCACATTGTTAGATAAAAGCTGTTTGCTTTGGAAAATTTTATATCTTTTAGGTGTGGACATTAGTTTTGTTGTTACACTATGCATAATTCCCAACAAAATATTAAATAAAAAGAACAGGAAAAAACAGTTAATAAAATTTAAAAAAAGCCATGCCATAACATAAAACAAAAACAATTTTACCATTTATGCTCACCATTTAAATCCAATCAATTACATACAAACTCAAGAATTTTAATATCATACATCAGTATATAATTTTAGAAACTTGTTTTACTTTGTTTAAAATAAATATGTATAACATTTGGTTAGTTTTCATCGAGTAATTTTCAATTAATTAGTCCTAATCATACTTTCATTTTTTGAAAATGAATGTTAAAATTATTATTAACCTTTTAAAACTTTGATATTTTTAAGCAATTGAAAGTTCTAAAGGTAACTATACTTTATCCAAAAATTAAAAAGTGGAATATGACTCCAAAAATGAATAATTTGTAGACTGGTTCATTCTGAAAATTGATTCCATTTCAGGTATTTGAAATGCATATTTTTTTTCTCCATAAAATAAGACATATTAAAATAGTTTCCGGAGGACAAATTATTTTACAGTAATTACAATTGAGTAGTCTAAATGCAAAACCTTATTATTGCTGTCTTGACAAAAGATACAGAGGGGGGGGGGAATGATAGTGGAGCGATATTCTAAAAATAGTCTTTAAAAAAATTAAAAAAAACATCTGAAACTAATTAAAATCAAAACAAGACCACATTCTAGTTAAAGATGAAAAAAAAAGAGATAATATAAACTCAATACTTTGCTTTATTTAATTTTTTTAATCAAGTTTTAGAATCAATGATTAATTATTATTTAAATTTAGAAGGTAATTTTAAAATATTTCTTAGGAATGTAAATATATGATTCCCAACTAAAAGGTAGAAAAATAAACATAAAAAATAACAAATGAAATCCTTAATATCACATTATAAAATCTAAATAAATATCTCATTTTAAAATCTAAATAAATATCACATTTTAAAATCAAAATGAGACCAAAAAAAAAGTAAAATAGATAAATATCACAGATTTTTACATACAGCATGAAGTGTGCAAGCTACAAGTGAGTTAGAAGTGAAAGAGATACCTAATGAGTGTATTTTTATTCGGAGACTTCAAAGCAAACGTCCTCTTCTTCATCACTGGAAACAGTAGAACAGTTTATAGAACAAATAGTTATTAATTCTGCATTTTAACATCATTTGCATTATGAAATGACTAAATTACCAAACTAACATAAAAAAAAGCACATGTTGTTGAATGTATCGTAGTTTTCGGCGAAAGCGCCGCTGCACTATCGAAAAAAGAAGTCGTTTTTTTCCTCCATGCGGCGCTTCCAACGTAATAATTTTTAGTAGAAAAAAATTTTATGGAAGAAAATTATTTAAGATTAAATCATTTTCTGAGATAATGAGAAATTAATAACTAAGTCGACGAAATATTTGCCCGTATCGCAACTTGCTGCGGAACAATAGCCAATTCTTAGCAAACTTTCGGCAACGGCCTGCAAAATAAAATAGATAAACGAAATAATAATAAAAAAAATATCGCATAAGAAGACCATTTTAAAAGGTACGCATCTTCTTGTCTCCACCCCCAGCTAAAGAAAGATTGCAATCTAGAAATCCACTTAGCGCCTTGGGAATTGTAATTGGAGCAAACATATAAGGAATTCCCCAACCCCTTCAAAAATAACCAATTGATTCCTCCTAAACAGCTCAAGTAGAAAAGACAAGCGGAGGAGGTGGGGTACATCCTTCTTTTAATATTTTCTTCTCTCTTTTTAAGCTTAGTCATATTGTGTTATTTCCATTGAACGAGAGGACATTCTACCCACTAAAATTCCACCCCCAAAGACTGAGAAAATGAAACTCGTTTCCGCTTTGTTAATTCTAGAGAATTTTTTTGGTGCATGCTTAGTTATTTCGTATTTTTGTTACTATTAGTTGTTTCGTTTTTATTAGTTTTTCCTCAAATTGTCAATTGTAATAAACTTTTAAATATTTTTATTTTTAAATCCTTTTTTTTAATAAATTTTTAGCTTAAAATTTTTAATTTTATTTTTCTTATTAAATTGTTTTACAGATTTATGTAATCAGTCACTGCGTTAATTCTTCTGCTAAATATGGTTGAATTATTTTTTTATCATAGAAGAATAATTTACCTTCCTAAAATTTGAGATTCTCGGAGCACATAAATATTTCCTTAAAAAGTATCAATAAATAAGATGTAGATAAATTATTTTCAAATTTAAAGTCTCTTCACTTTTAAAGTAGAGGGTGTAAAATTAACCTATTAAAAAAGAAATTACAGCAAACAAATAATCTTTAAAAACAGTTTTGCCTTGAAATTTGAAAAGGAAAAATTTAGACAAAACATATTTCGACAGTGGCTAGAATACATATTATGTATATTTATACCAAAATAAACACTGAAAATTTAATAACATAAATTTAATAGTAATTATTAATTTTCAAGCATCTCTAATGCTTTTCTCCTTCCAAAAACAAAAACACTAATATTGTTATTAAATATTAATAGTATTTTCTAAATATGAAACTTAAAGCTTTTATCCTTTTAATTACATATAAATAGAAGTGAAATAAATTTATGTAACAAACATAAGGCATAAGGTCATTATAAATACAATTATAGTGAAGAGTTTAAAGCTTTTGAAATAAAAAATCACAAAATTTAAACATAAGAAAGATTAACACTTAAAAACTAAATTTTACCAAGGAAAACTGAAACCATTAGTTAAAAGAAGATACAGTGAAAATAATAAAATCCCTTGCATAAGAAAATGTATTTTCCTTTTTATCAAAATTTTTTTTATTCCTTTTTTATTATGTAGAGTTGATGTGTAATTTAAAATGAATAAATATTTATAATATAATGAAAAACCGAAAAATAAAAAATTCTTAACTCTTTTTTTTTACAAATAATTTGAAGCATATTAGTCAGCATTTAAAATATTACAAAAATTACAACAATCAAAATTATTGAACTATTGTCAATTCAGGACTTGCTTCTTTGCAATAAGGATATCATATTACTTGTCAACTCAGAATATCAAGATTCGTGTCAGAAAGTGTGAAATTGTTGCGAGCACATTTTGACAAAATTATTTAGCTTATTCAGAGACCGTAGCACAGGTAAACAAAAATAACATTCATAATTCTGTTTAAAGACAAAACGTGTCAGTTGTTTTAATGTTAGTCATTTTCAAAATGTTTTTCCTCTTTGTGAACACTGTTCAAACAATCCAAACTGTTCCTAAAACCATCAATGTTAAGTATTCTTTGACATAATATAAGTCCAAATTACCAATAATGAGGTTTAATGTTGTTAAATTGTGTGCATCTTTGATGCGGTATCCCAATGAAGAATCGTGATCACTTAAAAGTATATTTAATAAACCAAAAAAGAAAAAAAAAATACATATGTAACAGAAGATAAGCAATAAACATCAAATAATAAATTCTTTATATACACTCTGGATCTGGACTCTCTGATTCTTGTTTTTCTAAAGCAGTTATAATAATTATAATTTAGTTACAATATAAACTATGATTTTAATGAATAAATATTAAATTATTCAAACTAATAATAAAATTTAAGCATCATGGACAATGGTAAATATTAGGAGAATAAAGGTTAGTTTAAACAACTCAATAATTAGAATTATCCACAATCAATTTTTTTTTTAAAAATCAGCTAATATTAATTAGCTGTTTTTTCAAAAAATTTGATTAACTGATTAATGAGATGTAGCCTAAAAGTTAATATTAATAAATAGTAATGGATTTCAACTAAAATGTAGCATGTCTAGACATTAATCCAGAAGACAAGTGTATAGTTAGCATTATTTATATGAGAATTAATAGCAAAATTTCCAGTTACTATTTTACTAATTATTTTGAGACATTCGAAACAGAGGATAAAAGAGAGAGATGTTCGATGAAATAGTGACCTGCTTAAAGATGAACAGACTGAGGCTGAAGCAACAGATGTGCTCGTAAAATATTCTGTAGAAGATTCTGATAGGGTTTGCATGTTTTCATCAGAGCTTGAATCTGATTCGCACTCAAAATCTACAAATAAGAATAATTACATGTATAAAAATAAATGAAATTTTAAATTAGTATAATTCAATTTTATTTTAAAAAAAAGAAATTAATATTTTAAATTAAAGTCTACCTAATTGTCTGCATATTACTATTCACAAATAAACATAATAACTAGATAAGTACACTGTCAATGTTTTTAACAGACTCATTTAAAAGAAGAGTGAATTCAAACAAAAAAGCAGAAATAAATGTGATTTAAAAAAGTGAAAAAATAAAATTACAAAAATTTACTCCAGATTCACACTCTAACAACAAATCCTGCAGTTATCAAAACAAAATAAAGAGGGGAAAGTATTTAGAAAAGTAACTATTGTTACGATTTCCTTTAAATACAATAAAAATTGATAAATGAGTTATTAAAGATATATCCTTATTCTGTTCATGAACTTATCAAAGTAAATTGGCACCGAATTCTTCAATGAATGACTGACAATCCTTACAAAAAGAAACAAAAAAAGTTATAAAGAAAATAAAAGAATTTTGAAACAACTTTGACAAAATAAAGTCTTGCATTGTGGAAAAAAAGAACCTCTGACAATTTTTTTTCCTTCCTCAGAATTTTCTAATCCTCTTTATTTTTTTTTATAGACAACTTTTGTAGCTTTTCTTTCTATTCATTCTAATGATAAGGATATAAAGATTATTTTGATTATGAATGAAATGTTTTTAAAAAGTTGAAGAAATTATATAATTTTTATAAGTTGAAAATTGATAATTGTTATTTGACTTGAATTCTCCAATTTCTTGGATGGGCTTTTCAAAAAATTTATACATGTTTACGTTTTTTTTTAATTGTTACCCTTGTTTTAAATTAAGCATTAAAACTTTTAGAACAAGTTATTTTTAGAAGATTTGAGTTTAGAAACCCTTTCACTAATCTGTCCTGATCTTATACATATATATTTTTCTTTTATTTAATTCAAAACAGTTAAGTTTATTTTTTATTCTTTAATGATTTATTTAAAAAAACGGTTATTATTATTTTTTTATTTTACTTTTTGTTAAATTGTAACATTTTATTCGCCATAATTTTAGATAATTTTTTACTTCTTTGATAATGCTTTTTCATTTCCACAATTTAATGATCTTTATTTTCTCAATTTAATAAATCTCTACACAAAATAAATTAAAAGATTATTTAGAAAATTTTAGATTAGAAATTATTAGATTTTTCTTTGTTATAATCTTACTGATTTTACAGAAATCTTCCTTTATTAGGATCTTAATTTTTATAATGGGAAATATGTGCTGCTATCTTCTCTTATCATGTGATCATTCAGTCTCGCTTTCAATGCGAATGGGGATGCAAGTTAAATTTCGAGATGGGCTCAAATGAAAACGTTTTGGTAGATAATCCATACCTCGAAATAAAATACTCTTTCGGCAGGTAATCCACGGATTATAAACCGGAAAATACAGTAATTTGAGTGTATTTCTTTCATTCATTTTTGAGCAATACGTTTTTATTCATTAAAAATTAAAATGACAAAAGAAAGAGAGAAGAGCATAATTTCTCAAAATTGTTCTCATTGTAGTCTTAAGTAGAAAATAAAAATGTGAATTACAGGGTCACTTTGAAATACCTTTTGAACTTTAAAAACATAATACTTTTTTTTGCAAATTACTATATACATAGACCTTTAATAATCTTTTTTTCTTTTTAAAAAATAATATTAGCTTGTAAGAAAACTGGTTTTCCAGGAATCACAAACCTACACTTTTCTCTCTCTTAGAATTAATTGAAGATAAAAATCACAGTATTCACAAGCACTTACTTAAAAATGTATGAGCCCTTTAAATAAAATGTAACTATCATTTCAAGATGTAATTCATTAAAGTCATTAAAAATAAAATAGCTTTCATTGTTGCTGAAACTTAAGTACAAGCAAAAGCCAACATATTTTTATGTCATTTGTTTTGCATATCAAAGCTAGGCAGATTCATTTGAATCATCTAGTAACTTGAGACCTAAATCAAAAATTTACATTTTTAATTAAAAACATAAGAACTAAGAATACTTAATGCAATTATAAATTATACAAAAATAAACAAATTTTTTATTAATATAAGCAGCTTAATATTGAGAGAAGAAATAGCTAAAAAATTACTTAAATGAATTTTTTCTTGAATAAGAGGATAAAAATCTTGGACCACTTCATTTTCAGGCTCATAGTACATGACTGAAAAATAGAGAATGCAATGAAATCACAAAAGAAATTTAGCAATCAAACAAGTCAAGTGCGACACAAACTAAATAGCATCTAAAAAGTTCTAGTTGCTCTTTATTTAGCAACAATGTTTTTATGCTCGTTTCAATCTTTCACTTTTTTGGAAATTACTTAAAATATCACTATACTGTTGAATTTTTTTTTTCATGTAAGTAAACCAGAGAAATTAGTATGCACAGTAAAAAGAATATTAAGCTCAATTATCCTTGTTGGAAATTACTTAAAATATCACTATACTGTTGAATTTTTTTTTTTTTTTCATATAAGTACACCAGAGAAATTAGTTTGCACAGTAAAAAGTATATAAAGCTCAATTATCCTTGTGGGAGAGCAATATGAACATATATCTTTAAACATTTCAATTAAAAAAGGGGTATGAAATAATTTTTAAAGTAGAAATGATCAGGGTGTCTAGTGAGAAGACATTTTCCTTGTAAATCCAAGATTTTTCCTCCATCGAGCAGATGATATTTAATATTAAATTTTATTTCAAACAAATATTTTATCATTTAAAATATATCATCAGAGTAAAATCAAAAATTAATATTGATGAACAGTTTAATATTATAAAATAAACACTATGTATTTAAAAATAAGGTAAATTTCATTCTAGATCTTAAAAAGGGCATTATATCCCCCTAAAAAAGAACATCCAAGAGAAAAAGGAGTTGCATTTCACAAAAATTTGCATCGCTTTTAAGAAACCCAAAATATACACAGTGTATAATTTTATTATTAAAAAAAAATCTTATTTTCAATGAGAAAATTTAACTTAAAAATAATTCTGCAGATAAATTAGATCATTCCATAAAAAAATTTTAAAATTAGCGTAATTCTCGTATTCAGAAAATGTTAGTTGCCGTGATAACATATTAAAAGTATCAAGATTTTAAAAGCAATGTTAAAATGGCTGAAAAAAACAACAAGTAATTGCAACATCGGCCAAAAAAAGTAATTTGAATTTAATGCAGATTTGAGATTGAATCTTCACCAATCAAGCGTGTAAGAATGTGATTGCTAAAACACGCAATTCACTAACCATTATATTGTATTAAAAATATTGAAACAGAAAAAATCTCACTAAAATAGCCAAAAAAAAGATACAAATGTCTGCTGAAAAAACGATTCTTAAATGATGTAGATTTAGGATAAAATTAATTTGAATTGACACTCCTTTAATTCCAAAGGCACACTTGTAGTGATAACTTCGTATAAATATAATACTTTCTGAAAACCCATGTGGAAATAGCTGAAAAAATGATAAATAACAGCTGAAAAACGGTGCATTTATTGACGTGAAATTATTACGGAATTGTCAGGAATCGAACACATCAAAAAATAGTAAAGTTATTTCAAAAGTCTTAAGTTGTAATAACATTGTATTATAAATATCTGAATTTGAAAAACCAAAAAAATGGTAAATAACTTGTGAAAGAATAATCATCAAATGACGTGAAGTTATGATGGAATCATCACTAATCAAACAAGCCAAGTAAAACTCATCAAAAAGTGATAGCTCAAAATGGAAATTTGCATGTCTTAATAACACAGCATTTAAAATATCATAATTTTAAAAACTATGTGAAAAGAAGAGAAAAGATTATACATAATTGCTGAAAATCTATCATATAACAATGTGAAATTACGATGGAATTGCTTGAATTGAATTACTTAAATTCCAGATTCACACGTCTTACAGCAAGGTATAAAAATATTGGAATTTGAAAAACCAGGTGAAAAAGGATGAAAATTACGATGAAATCGTGACAAATTGTACGCTTCAAAAAAGTGATAACTCAAATTCGGAATTCACATGCCGTTATAATGTATTGAATATATTATTTGATATGTTATGTTTGGGAAACTCAAAAGGACAGAAAAAATAATGATTTACTGCTGAAAAAACAATCTAAAACTTCAGGACCACTTGGAAGAAATATGGGAGAAAACTTGTTTGCGTCATTCTTAGTGAAGCGCTACTCACGGAAGCATCGATCGCTTGATGTATGATCGTCTGCTATTTTAAAACTTTTTTCTGTTTTACTAAAAAAATTTAGAAATTCCCTGATATTTCCTGAATTAATAAATTCTCTGATAATTCCAGGTTTTCCCTGTTGTTGGATACCCTGATGATAATCTATTTTATGGTTCAGAGGCCTCTAGTAATTAATAAATAAAAACCACCATAAATTAAAAAAAAAAAACATTTTTTGATATTAAAAAAGATAATTTAATAATAGAAAAAAGAAGCATTTTTAAAGCATAACATTTAAAACAGAGAACTAATTTGCGAAAGATATTTAAAATTATCCATACATTTCATCATACAATGTTTGTTTAGGATTTATGATAAAGAAAAATACAGTGAAATATTTAAACAAAAAAAAAGAGCAATTAATGCAATTTTTGGAGGTTGAAATAAAATAACAAATGTCTTTTATTGGAAAGTTAAAAATATAACGAGATACAGTGAAATCTCTTGTTACGAACACTCCTCAGAACGGACGCCTCTCATTAGGGACATATTTTTAACTCCCTGTGAATCTTCAATAAAAAAAGCATTATGTAACTTCTCCGCAAAATGGACACTCCCCTAACTGGACTCGAACAGTCATTTATGCCCTCAATCGTTATTTTCTATCTCTACAAACTGGTCACCAATTCTTCTGATTAAAAAAAAAAACAAAAAAAACTACTTCTACTTTAAATTCAAAAGAAAAAAATATGCAGCTTTCCATCTTTTCCAAAGCATTTTCTTATTTTGTCCACAACTAAAAATGTTAAGCTATTTCACCACTAAAACATCAATCGCTTTCCTTTCCCCTTCCCTATCTTTGCAAAAAAAGAAGAGAAAAAGATGATGTAAAATATTTCAGACAGTGGCATCTTTTCATCTGGACGATACTGGTTAAGAAACCCCCACAAGCTGATATGATGCTCTCGATTACTCTTCTCCACTAAAAATTTATTTCTACATATTATCAATTTGGAAACACAGCTGGGTTAAAAAAAGGGGAACAGAAATCTAGTCATTGAGGTGATCATATAAATGAAGCAGTTATTTGACAGATGATCAATTGTGAATATGACAACTCCATAGAGTCTTACAGGTATGCATTGCTGCTTTCGAACGTTCAAGGAGACCCTATCAAGTGATGGAGAGGTGTTAGGGGGTGTAAACCGTCAGAGGAAGTGAAGTAGGACTAAAAGTGCTTATTTGGTATCCTATGACTAGTGCCTGTGTAAATAGGAAAAACATATTCATTTTTATGTAGCTAGAATTATGTATACATATGTATAAAATTTTTTTATACATTTTTTTTATTAAAAAAATTATTTTTTAAAAGTTATAATAAATATTAGATAGTAGATTATGTAATCTTTTCTAAAGCATTGCAATTATTCTAAAAACAATTTACGGTGTACTTCGTTATTAAAGTCCTTTTCCCGTAAACGGACAACTCTCGTAAGCGGATAATTCTATCACTCCCAAGAACGTCCGTTTAACCAAGATTTCACTGTTCATCTAAAAAAGAAAACTTTTCCTCTCTTAAAAATAGCACTAACAACTTAAAAACATTCAGTTCCATTATTTATTTGCTTTTTTTTTGTAAAATATTGAGGTGCATTTGAGTAGATGAAAGTCATCTCCCTGGCGAAGTAGAGGTTCTGAGTTCTATCCTCCCAGATGGAAAAAAATGTAAATATGTGTATAGATGTTGTTTAAGCTTTAATTTATTATTTGAATGTCCGCTAGAAGCTTCAAATACATTATTTCTTGTTCCTTATTTAATTGTATACAAGTTCTTGCTTTTGAAGTTACCTTGTTCCATGCATGACAGAAGTGTTCAATAAATCAGTGTAATTAGCCATCTTGTTTCTGTCTCTGACATTAATTTAAGAGATATTTTTCAGCAATAGTACACTCTTTTATTATTTTTAAGTATGGTTTCAGTATAGGTCCCAAAAAGTCACAGCACATGCTAAAGTCTTTTCCTGATTTATAAAGTACTCAAATAGAAATTAAAAATGTTTTAATGAAAAAAGTAAAAATAAAATAACTCACTTACTCAGCTTACAATAATACAAGGCACACTTGTAGTTCCGAGCCATCAAAGCAGAAAGAAACTAAAAGTAAAGAGAAACGAAAGCAATATGTTTTCATGGGATTAAACAAACAAAAATTTAGTTTTAAAAGTCAAATCAAATAAAAAAAAATAAAAATCTAATAACAACATTTCAAAATAATTAAAATTAAATTTTTATCAGGAATGTGTAAATCAGCTTAATATCTAAATGATTCTTTCCTTTAAAAAAAGTAGTAGTATCCTAAAAAGATTTTTCCTTAATAAAAATTTATTATAAAAAAGAATACACAAATGCATGCAAACATTTTTTACATCATCTTTTTCATTTAAAATATAATAAAAATATTAGCTTTAATTTTGGTTAGAACAAGCAAAATTAGATAATTTTCCAAATGTCTTATGCTACTATAAAATCTTATGCTACTATAAAACTACTAAACTAAACTCAGAGGCGCAACAGCCCAAAGAGGGCCAAGGCCTACTGTGCCCATCTCAGTTTTCTTGACCTTGGGCTCTGGGGGGCAGGAGCAGATGTTCTGGTCAGGTGGTCAGCCGTACACGGAATCCCCAGTGTTTAGTTCCCAAGCATGCTTGGTACTCACCTATCGACCCACTGAAGGGATGAAAGGCTGAGTCAACCTTGTCCGGCCCGAGGATCGAACCAGGGACGTGTGGCACGACAGCGCGAAGCGCTACCACTCAGCCACCGGGCGTCACTATAAAACTATAGAAAGCAATTAATAGGGTGTCAATGGTTTAAATTATGATTTTAATTCAATGATTATTTTAAACAATTAGATAATTAAAATGTAAATAATTTATTTTAAAAAATATTAACGATTAAAAAAAATATTCAACTTTTGAAGAAAAATAAGCAGAACAAACAAAAAATGTAATTATTGAAAAGCATCAATTTATTTTTTAAGTATGCTCATATAATATTTCATAAAGACTGACTACTACTGAACTAAAAAAATAAAAAAATTTATTTTAAAGAAATGAAAAGGGATAAAAATTTGCAAAAGCAATCATTAGAGGGATTTTATGCATCGTGTGTTTGAATTGATTGATTCCATTTGCAAGCACGAAATAATAACTTATTTCTTAGTTAGTATTTGAGAATGTCATGTTTTAAAGTTTGTAAAATTACTAATGTTATGAATTTAATAGAATAAAAAAAATTTTTTCCTTACAGATTCGCACAATTTATAAAAACTTTTACTAAATTGGGGCCTAAAACAGTTTTCACTTTCACAAATTCTACTACAAGAGATAATTATTAGAACCAATTTGTGATTGATTTTCCTCTATTTTTGCTGAATAGCTTTTTCCATCAAAATTGGATAACAACTGCAAAAGAGGTGTTTGGGTTGGTATTATATATTCCCACAGATAGCAAATGCAGTGTAGATCTAAGGAATTGACTTAATATCTTTTCCAGAGTTTTTTTTCCTTCATTCTTTTTTTTGTACGATTGCCTTTAAGTTTCCTTGCAGTTTCTAGTGCTCAGGAATGATTGCTTGCTGCATAATGAAATAAGAATGTTTGTATATTAAGTCATTAAATATGATTGTGAAATTAATATTATAACTAAATGCACTGATTGTTTTGCATCCGCTAAAACCTTGATGAATTTAATGAAAGATTTAGCATAAGTCTAAGAGCTATTTTATTGAAAAGAGAAAGAATATATGTTTTAAAAGTGAAAGTAACTTATTATAACAAGGCTAAATAATAGTTTTGTGTATATTTTGCTTTATTCTAATAAAAATTTAACAAAGTGGTAAAAAAACTGTTCTCTGAAAAAAATTTTATATAGTTTTGTCATTTTTTTAATTTATGAAATATATACCTGATGTTGTGTAAAAATGGCTAATAATGCAGGTGAATTTTAAATGTAATAGGGTAGCAGCAATATTTGATTCTGTTTTTGGCATTTGAGGAAAGTGGTTGGCAAAAAAAAAAAAAAAAATTGNGTAGGAAAAAAAAAAAAAAAAAAACAATTTCAAAAAATTGGTGGCAGAGTAGAAAAAAATTATTTCTTAATTATTAATTGCATGGCTATAAATTTTTATATTTAAATGCGTATCATATATTTAGTTATGTGTCTTATAAGAAGGTAAAAATTTGAAATAACTTAAATACATTTTTATTATTTCAATTAGAAAAGACTAAAATACAATAGAGAAAAAAAAATTTCTTCTTTTCTTTCCTGTGCATGTTATTAACTCACTTCAGAAAGGATTTCAACAGGAGTACTGCACGAATCTTCATCTGAGAAATCTCCACTTTTAATCGAAACTCCTTCCATTCCACACTCATGGAACCTGCTGATTGGGCAGAAATAAAATAACCTAATGTTACGATAATGATTTCACATAGAAATTACAAGTAATAACTGAAATTATATGATCAATTTTAAATTCCAGCCAAAGCCAATCATTACAGAATTTTTCCTATTTTTATAAGACTGTCAAAGTTACGTCTCGCTCTTGAAAATCTACTAAATAAAATTTGCCATGTTGTGTAAATGAGAGCTCAGGCAGAAAAAGACTGAGAGGGAAGTTGCTTGCTAATGAAATAAAAAACTTCTCGTTTACGTGATTCTGCAAAAAATAACAAAATATAGATTAGTGGAACTCTACGAAAATTTCCCAAGAATGTAAAATTTTAAATTCCTGGAGAGAGAAAATTACATGCCTGCATAAGCAATGAAAAACTTTTTCAGTTGATATGATTTTAAATATATATTTTATATTTTTTTTATTTGCAATTCGACATAAAAAGTACTCACAAGAAACTTATACCAGTATGCTCTATGCCAGGGGTGGCGAACCTTTATGCACCAACGTGCCATTTTTTCAAAAAATTGTTTAATGAGGTCATAGACGTGCCGTCAAATAATTTTGACTTCGTGATTATTGGGAAAATAATAATACTAAATACTATCAACTCAAAACTCTTTATTTACTATGGAAAAAAAATACATTTTGCAATATCTCAGTTACACGCGTAATTCAACTTATAGTAACATTAGTGTGACTTCTTTTATTGCAGATTAGATGGCAACTAACTTATATTAAGGTTGTAAGATGTTAGTTTAAGCAGGCTGTTAATTTCTTTTTTGCTTGTTATTTATTGTTAGCTCATTTCTTATAGTTATTGTTTTTTTTGTCATTAATTGTAAATTTTTTTGTTAATAATTGTTTATTTTTTTAAAATTTTAATTTAATTGTTAATATGCTTCACAGCGAACTTGCAATCGGTGGCGTGCCCAAAATATTGTGTCGCGTGCCATTGGTTCGCCATCCCTGCCCTATGCTAATAATAATAAAAAAAATTCACCAGGTGAGTGAGCAATTGAGGTCGAAAGACTGGAGAGTTTCTTAAAATAGTTCAATTGAGGTGGAAATTTCTCCCCTTCAAGCGATTGACTCATCATAGTTAAAAGTTATGAAAAATAACAAGCATTTCTTTTCCCATCTGATTTGTGAGAAAGGCAATCTTTTGAAAACAATTCTGCAGATATATATTTTTTTCGTGCAAACTGAAAAGAAAATTTTTTATTTTTATTTTCTGAATAGAAAATTTTACCACAGGAACTCTGAAATGTTCTAGGACAATGTTGCCATATTTCTGGCAAGAGGTAGGAGCACTTGTCTAATAAAACTATTTAGCATGAGAATTGGGTATAATTTACAGGGTTAGTATTTTTGGCAAGATAGAGGGAAAAAAACATGGCAAAAATGGAAAAAAAATACTGACAAAAACTTATTGGTGAATAGTTTTGAATTGAATTATGTTAATTCAGTATTAATAATTATAAATGCACTTAAATATCTAAGTTATCTATTTCATTAATTATTATATTAAATTATAAATTGAAAAAAAATGTGTGTAATTTTTAATTTTAGTTCAAATCAATTTCAATGCAACACGTTAAATATTCTTAAAAATTGAATTTTTTGTCAATATTTAAAAAAATCTAATTTTTTGTCAATATTTTAAAACATTTATAACTTTCTATCTTTGCAATTCGTAAAATTAGTATTTTTAAAAGGTTGTGGATAGTTAAAGAAATATTTTTTAGCTCTCCTTTTCCCCTTCTTAAAAATAGTCTAGTGTGTGTACTATACCAAAAAAAAATATCTTCCTTTATCTGTAAAATATAAAAATTTTTATTTTAAACTATTATGAAACCTTCTGATGAAACAGGTTTTAAAAATTTTGTAGACTTCAATGATATATAAATTTTTAACATTTAAGGAAATATTTGTTTTGCTTTTCATTCGACTTAATTTCTTTTATTTTATAGTTGTATATTGATTTAACTGGTACAATTTCTAACAATATGGAATGTTCTGCAAAAATTTCTATTCAAATATAAAACAATCACCTTTACATTATATTTACCTATAATATTCCTGTTTTAAATAATAAAAATCATATATTTTGTCCTTATATTAAAAAAAAAGGGGCAAGACTTCCTGATTGTGATCTGCTGCAAAATATGCGCCAAATCGTGCAAGAATCTAAAAAAAAAAAAATCACAGAAGAGAACCAAATCAAGTAGCCTATCCATCCCTAGGCAAACCTCAACAAGTTATTTTTTGTTTAAAATCCATAGGCACTTAATAATTGGTGCTACAAATCACCATATAGAAAAATCCACAAAAAAATTCGAAATATTCTATTCTTAAGGAAAATTAAATATTGCATTTATTTTAAATTCGAAAACATGCAATTCAAAAATTTATATTTTTTACTGACTTACAGAGAAAAAAAAATCTCCGTAGGAAGTTATTAATGTAAATTGTATTTTTGTTACTTAGGCATAAAACTTAGGATTTTTAGTGAAATTAACGAAGCGAAGAGCATTAATGAAAACAAGAACGGGATTTTACTTAAACAGAAAAATACATTGATATTAATACATCAAATAATAAACAATTATTATAATAATTATTATTACTCTTCATTTTTGTTTTCCATATTTTAGTAGTGTTTTAAGTTTAGTTGCAAACGTACAGATAGGATGGATGAAATTTAAATATAATTTATTCATTCATTAGGAACGATCATTTATATAGAATGGCGAGCTTTAACACATCGTTACTTTGAATAATTTAAGAAATATTTTAATGAGAATTTGCAGCAAAAAGAGAAAAATAGTACTATTGTTTGTATTCGAAAATTTGTTTTGATTTGTGGAAGGGACAAGTAAATTATAGAGGAGTGCGACGAGCCGTGTGTGTTAATTTATAGCTCTGTGGGAGCCTTCTATGATCTATGATTTGCGGGCTGTTGCTTGGCTGACCGATTTTTTTATAAATAGAGACATTTGATTGGTCAATTGCGCTATCGTTTTCATCTTTATCGCTTAATCGTTTAGTCAGGCTTACTAGAATGGCACTTTTAGCATTTTTGTTTGGCGCAATTTTACTAATGCGCATGCTCGGTTTGATAATTTATTCAAACCAATCGAAACACTTCGTAGACAATGAATATAGAAATTTGTATCCCCTTTGCTTGTGTATACTCAGACAAGGACATAAAGATAGAAAGATCAATCACTATACCAAACGGATGTCAGGGTGAACTGTGACATCACTGGTCTCAACTGAATTTTCTTTATTTGATTTTTATAAATTGTTATGATAAATAATAACATTCCGTCTCTGTGCCAGAAAATTCTGAACACATTTTTTTTTAATTTTTTAAAGATTTATAATTTGTAAATTTTTAAATTTAAAATGAAAAATAAATGATATATTCTTAAAAATTGGTTTTTATATTGTTCTGAAATTCAAATTACTTGAAATAAAAAAATAAATTTAAAAAAAAATTAAGGACTTATTAAAAAATATGAAAATAACTAAAAAAAATAAAATAATTAAAATAAAGTAAAGAATAGTTTTATAAGCAATCTAAGCTGCCCAAAACATTTAATTTCATGAAGAAGAAAAAATTGGAAAATGTGTTAATAATTGCTGAGATAGAGCCTCATAATTGTCTGCTAACGTTCAATTAGTTTGTTATTAAATCTTTTTCATGGTTTTCCTTTGTGCGTAATGTAAATTCTAATTATTTTCGTTCAAAAAGTCTTTCAAAATATAATTTCATTCCTGTATTTAAATTACAAGTAGCTTTGATATCTGGGATGCGGACAAAAATACAAAAAAGTTTTTAGAGCATTTCACAACATTCACTTAGATAGGCTATATATCAAAGATATTAAAATAAGTGATTGATTATTAAAAATGATTTCATTGCTATAATGAACATTTCGATTCCTATTACCATCAAGAAATCTGACAAACGTTTTTGTGGTTTTCCTTAGCTTGTATCGCAGAATTACTACTACAATAGCTCTTATAAGTATGCTTTTATTCTGATACTTGAATTGCAAGTTGCTTTGATTGATGTAAAAAAAAAAAATATTAATATAAGAAGAGTGTTTCACAATATTCAGTAAGATGACAGACTGTTTTTCAAGGACGATGAAAAAAATTTTTGAATATAAAAAATATTTTCATTGCGATAATCAACATTTAGCTGGAAACCTATAACCATTCAACAATTTAAAAGACTTTTTCGTGGTTTTCCTTCGCATGTAACGCAAATTTGATTATTTTAATTTAATCTTCATTAAAATAAACTATTCTTCTTACTTTCATGAACATAATTGTATTCCGATACTTAAATTGTTAATTACTTTGATTTCTGAATTGAATTAAAGATGAAATAATGGCGTTTTGTTACATTCACAAAGATGATAAGCTTCACAAGGATGGAAAAAAAATTATTGGTTATTAAAAAATAATTTCTTTGCGATAATAAACATTTATCTAGAATCCTATTACCGATAAAAGCGATTTAAAAAAAAAAGCATTTTTCGTGGTTTGCGTGTAAAGCAAAATTTGATTATTTAAATTAAAATTGGCTATTTTTATTGCAATTATACTTCGATGCTTAAAATCCGACTTACTTTGATTTCCTGGTTGAGTTAATAAGAAGAGCTTTTCGTTCTGTTCAGAAGGATGGTACCCTATCTATTAAGGATAATAATAATAATCATAATAAAATGGCTGTTTAAAAAAAATATTTTCATTGAGATGATGATGAACATTTAGCTTCAATCCTATTATCACCAAGCAATTTTTAAAAAAAAAAACATTTTCGTGGTTTTCATTTGCGTGTAACGCAAAATATGATTATTTTGATTTAATCTTAATTAAAATGAACTAATCTTTTAACTTTCATAAATATAATTTTACTCCGATGCTTGAATTGCAAGTTATTTTATTTTAAATACCAATAAAAACAATCTGAAAAACATTTTCATTTGTTTTTCTTAGCGTGTAACGCAAAGTTTGATAATTTTAATTTCAATTTAATCTTGATTATAATTAATTATTTTTATAACTTTCATAAATATAGCTTTATTCCGATACGTAAATAGCGAGTTACTTTGATTTTCGGATTGAGTTAAAAACTACAAAAATATGAAGAGCATCTCGTTATACGAGGGTTACTCTGAAATTTTTGAGATACGCGCAGACAAGAATTTACAAAATAAAAATGACGGTTTAATTTTGAAATACAAAGTGTATTTTAACACGGCAGACGATGTTTTACTGACTTACTTCAACTTGTTTAGCGTAGAATAAATTTTTAACAGAAAAGAAAATGGAGTTGACGAGAGAACATTTTCGCGCTATGATTTTCTACGATTTTAAAGCAGGATTAAATCAAGAAGAATGCGTTTAGCGGTTGCAATTAGCATTTGGTGATGAATCTCCAGCTTGTGTTACTGTATTCAGATGGTTTAAAGAATTTAGCAGAGGTCGCAATTTTCTTCAGGATGAAGAACACACAGGAAGGCCAGTAATCTCGGATAATGTGTCTGCTATACGAAAAATGTTACAGGATGATAATCGCTGTACCTTCAAATTATACAGAAGGAACTTAACATTAGATCCGCAGCCATATACAAAATTAAACAAGAAGAATTACATATGAAAAAAGTAGTTTGCCGTTGGGTTCTCCATAATCTAACTGAGCACCAAAAAGAGGAGCATGTCAGAATCAGTAAAGAAACTCTTAAATTGCTAAATGATGGTTACCACAGCATCATTTCTGAAATTGTAACGAGTGATGAAACGTACATATACCGTTTTTTGACGTTTCAACGCGTCAAGAAAGTAAAGAATGGGTCTTTGAAGATGATCCCACGATGATGAAAAGACAACGCGCACTGAAAAAAGTGAGTATGCCGCTTTCTTCAGAAGTACGGGATTGGCCAAAGCCATCAAATTGGAAGGACAGAAGAGAGTAACAGCAAACAGGTATACCACTAAATGTCTTCCAGAAATTCTACAAGTGAATGTTAGGGGACTAGTGCTTCACCACGACAATGCATCTTCACATACAGCCGGATTAACAGTTGAGTTTCTCAAACAGGAACAAATTAAGTGATAGAACATCCGCCGTATTCACCTGATCTAGCCATGTGTGACTTTTTTGTTATTCTTTAATCTAAAAAAGAACTTATGTGGACGTCGTTTTCCTTCAGAAGAAGAGATTGATGTGGCTATAAATGCATTTTTTTCCTCTATTTCAAGAAATAAATGGCTTGAGACATTTAATCTGTGGAAAATTCGACTCTAACAGTGCATTGATGCTGGAGGAGACTACTTTGAACACACCTAAAATTTTGTAAGTGTGACTTTAAAAACCTAGTTGTATCTCAAAAATTTCAGAGTGACTCTCGTATTCACAAAGAAGTCTCTTAAAAATGAAAGATGATAAAAAAAATTACTTATTATAAAAAATTCGTTGCGATTACTGAGCTTTTAAATAGAATCAAGCAATCTGAAAGATATTTCCGTGGTCCCTCTCCTATTTACGCGCAATGCAAAATATGATTGTTTTCTCAAACTCTTATTCAAGGAAGGGGGGGGGGAATTTATACAACTACTAACCACTCCAAAAACCAGAGTAAATGCTTTATAATAAAACTGATACGCCAAGAATTTGGAATTATGAAGAACTTGCCTATATATTTTCATTCAATAAACTGGTTTATTTGCTGCTTCCCTTCTTACAATTTTTTTTTTAAAGTGAAAAATGACTTGTTAAATCTTCTGACTCTTCTACATTACTGTTAGAAAATTTGACGGGTCATCAGGCTGTCTTTTGTCAACATCTGAATAAAATTCGAGCAAATAGTATTGTAATTGTTATGGAGAAAATATCAAAATGATGAAATAAACATGAACTTTTTATACAGTGTTAAAATTCAAAAACTTAAGTACTAGGGTTCCCATGATTTTATTACTTTACTAATAACATATTCTAGTATGTTATATTGAAATATCTGATATATGTACATTGAAATATCTGATATATCTGGAGAAAAACTTTTTCTAACCAAATATTCTTTGAGTCAGGAAAAGACAAAAAAAAAAAAAAAAAAAAAAAAAAAAAAAAAAAAAAAAAAAAAAAAAAAAAAAAAAAAAAAAAAAAAAAAAAAAAAAAAAAAAAAAAAAA